TGTATGGTCTCATGAGATAGGTTTCTACTCTCAGTATTTTGTACCTACTATATATTTTCTGCCACTAGATTGTGTTTTGTATAAAGCTAGGAGTGAAACCACAAGAAGCAATATCCAAAGTCAAAACTCTTTCTGATGTTGAAGCGTCATGTGCATCATTTGCTGAAGGTTGCGGTTCTTCTGATCCTGTGCTTGCCGTTAAGGATATATGTACCTTTTAATTGTCTGCCACCATTTATATTATGTTTCTTATTTCATTTCATTTCTTTTTTATTCAGTACATCTACTTGCCAAAATTTAATTGGTTAATTTATCTGGGGCTTATTTTTGTCAAAATTTAATCCATTTAATTGATTGTCTTCCAATTTCTGTGTTGCATTTTTTTTTTCGTCAAACTGTACTTTTATTCTTTGATACAGAAGTATTTGAAGGAGGAGCCATTTGCAGCTCAAGAAATTGAGAAAATAACTGAGGAAAGTCTGCCATCCATCTTGGGAGATAATCCAACTTCATTGGATGTGCTAAAAGCTGCCAAGAACTTTAAGTTACATCAGGTACATTTTCATTCATCTATGACCATTTATGTTTTGTTTTAGATGTCTGATATAGGTCATGCTCCACTGCCCCCCTTCTCTCTCCCTCACCGGGATCAAGTTTCCACATCTAGATTCCTAGATTCTGCTCTTGTTCTTCAGACTCCGTTTGTATTAAAACAAAGGGAAAAAATTTTACATTTTTAGTGAGAACTATTTTTAGATGTTATAATGTGGAATTTTCATTCATGGTCTGCAACTGATTTCAGAGAGTTGCTCATGTGTACTCCGAAGCCAGGCGCGATTATGCATTCAAGGATACTGTTTCAGCAAGCTTGAGGAAAGTCTTAGTGATTGATGTTTGCTTTTTTTGTGTTTAGAATAATTTCTTAGAGGATAATTCTTTTTAACATCTTTACCCTAAATATAACCTTTTTAAAGAACTTATCAGTTCAGATTCTATAAATACAATGAACACATTGCACTTGTGTAAAATTCATAAATTCTACAACAGGAAGAATTGAGTTGCTTTTCCGCTTCTGAAGTTTTGAAAATCTCTTGATTTTGTTAGGAATTGATATGGTTATTCTCCAGTGTTAATGAGACTCTCAAATGTTTTCTCTTCTGCAAATGATCTCCTCTGAATTTATTAGTTGTTTCTAATGTTCAATAATCATTATGCAGTGAGGAGGAGAAAGAAGCTAAAGAAGCTTATGAATGACAGCCATTACAGCTGTAGTGTTCTATATAAATGCAGGTGGGAATACTTGTTTACGAATATTATGCTTTGTTGCCAATTTATAGTTTTTTTAATCAAAGCTAAAGATATCAGGTTTGATCATAATAACATAAAAACGCCTGTGCTTGTGCATATCTACATGCTTTCTAAATTCACTTGTATTGATCTTTCTCTTTTCCTTCTAATGTGGAGGACGCTTTTAGTGTTCTTTCCATTACATTATTTCTGCTCCAAATTCTTTCTGCTACCATTGCACACCATTTATTTTTACAATTCTGTCTATGTATTTCTAATTAGCTGCCCAGAGCTCGAGGAATTAGTAAAAGTATGCCGAAGTAATGGTGCTTTGGGATTGGGAGCAAGGCTTACTGGAGCTGTGTGGGGTGGTTGTGCAGTCCCTCTAGTTAAAGAAAATATTGTGTGGCAGTTCATCCTCAATTTAAAGGTGTATATCAATGGCAGCTGCTACTTTTGCTCTTATTTTAAAAGCAAGACAATTAGAATACTAACATTTTTGCATGCAATTCAGGAACAATTCTACCAATCAAAGATGGACAAAGGTGTGATCAACAAGAATGATATTGGCCTCTCTGTGTTTGTTTCCAAACCATTAAGCGGTGCTGCAATTTTCAAATTTTAGTCAGTTAACCAGTCCTTAGCGCTGTTACATGTAAAGATAGTTAAGTTGAATAAAACTCTCATCCTGAACGGGTTTGGTTGTTGGTTCAAATAATTACTTAACCCAAACAATTGTTCAATTTGATAAAAGTTTCGTTTTTTTCTTTTCTTTTTTTACAAAAAAAATTGTTACTTTCTTAAACATGTAATATGAAATTTGTTTATAAATTTCTTAAAATCTTGTTTGTAATGAAGCATGCTTTGGTTTATTTCATTTCCGTTTTTTTTTTTTTTTGAATTGTGTCTAAACATATTAATTTATTAATTGATTTTAATTTAATAATTAATAAATATGAATTACTTTATTAAATATTAATTAATAATTATAATTATTAATTATTTTTATTAATCAAAGTAAATAAAATTAATATTCTTTTCATATTTTAAAACAGAAATAGATCTATAATTTTTTCATGTCTAATAATTATAATAATACATTAATACCTTAAAAATACACATAAAACTAAACCTGTTTTTTTTAAAAAAATAGGAGAACTGGGTCATTTCCTTCACCGTCCTTCTATTTGCCTCGAACCAAACACACCGAACTGAGAGAGTCAAATAATCCCCCAATTACACGGGACCCTCGTTCTGCCATGGGCCACCTGGTGTTTTAAATTGACGTGGCAATCCACGTGGATAGTCGGCTGCTGGTTTGAGGGAATTTTTCCCGCTAAAATCACACGTGGCTAGCGAAGATAAAAAAATAAATTAAAAGATATTTAAGAGTTTTTCTTTAAAACCACTGTAGAATTCCCAAATTGATGTGTTAGGGTTTTCTCAATCGTGAGTTCGTCTTATCAGATCAGAAAATTACATCTCAAAAATCGAAGTCTGTCTTCTTCCTCTTCCTCTCGACCTTCTACTAGAATTTCTCTGCCAGACCCATTTGTGTTCGAATACAAAATGCACAGGTTGAGTTCGAATTGGTTACTGCAAATCGTTAGTCCGTCTCAAGATGTCCTGTTACTTTAAATGTAGTTTATTTGCTATCCTAGGGTTCCCGATTAAGTCAAGACTGACTAACTTTCCTATATCCATGGATTGTTATCAAGTTAGTCCATATAGCCCGCTGAGGTTTTATGTATTTAAGGTTTCCTACATTATCTTCATCACTGAGGAATCGGAGAAGGAATAATCAGCTGTAATCAATGAAGATATCTTTGAGATATAAGATGGAGAAGTTGTCGCCTTGTACTCTGGGTCTGTTCTAAGACATATTGTAGGACAGCCTGATTGCTTGGAAGCTCTAATAGGAGTTCTTAAGAACTCAAATCCATGCGTTATGGTGGTGTTAGAATCTGAGGTGAATCAGTTTTCGCCCATTTTCCTGGAACAGTTTTCTGGAGCATTATCCTTCTATGGTTCTCCTTTCGATTTGTCTAAAGATTATGTGGATCGGAGTGATCCCGACAAGATTACTTTTGAAGCAACATTTTTTGTTCCAGAGATACCATATATTGTTGCAGTTGAGGATGACAATGAGATTTTTGGGCACTTGAGGATAGATGATTGGTGAAACTGTTTTACCAAATTTGGACTAGTAGAAATAGGGCTAGGATCATCATCTTTGAATCATGCAGACATTGTTGCAAAAAGTTTTCTTCTGAAAATTCTTGCACATGCTATAAGAATAATGGGGAGTCTCTAATTATTTACTGGACAGGAATACCAGTTCTTTCCATTCTGCCTGGAAATTCAAAGAAAAAAAAGCTCCAAGGCAGTGTTCAAACGGAAAAAGAAAATCTCTCAGGAAGTAGAGCCTGTAAATTTTTCATGTTTCCATTTGTATTGAATAAACTATCTTTTGAATACTATACCATAGTTTGTTCTTTTTCCTTTAAATCGTTGATTATACTGGTTCGGTTAAGTGAGATTGTGAGCCAAAGTCTTTATTCTAGATGTTAGGATGCGTCATAACCATTAGCTTCCAATGTTTCTCCCATGAAAGCCTTGCCTTTTAGCTTTACAGATGTAGATCTAGGTTGTAATATGGCCGGGTATTAATAAAAGCCAAAGTGCTAAGTTCATAATAGTTTTTAAGAACCTATGTGTAGTTGCAAAAAGAATAAATGGAACACATGAGAACTTTTGTTTTGATTATTCAAGCATTCAACACTGAACCATACAGAATTACTTGAATCAGACATGTAGTGTGAATCTTATTTTTCATGTTGTTCGTGATCGAGAATGAGCTCAAGCAGGAAGAGGATTCAGGATGTCTGCTCATCTATGGTTAACTCTTCAAATATTTTCCCGTGGTTTACAGGAATGAAGCCTTGGATTTCAGAACATTTGCTAGGTAAGTTGGTGGAGTTAAACCCTCCTCCTTTACATGAACAGAGTGGCCTTTGATCTTTACGTGCCATGATAACTGAATTAACGATGTCATCAGTTGGATGAAAGATGGATAGAACCTCAAACCCTTGAAGATCATTGGGATCAATTACAGGGTAAAGGAATGCTCGAGCTCCATGAGCACTCCTTAGCAAGAGAATAGACCCAGGAGACATGTGAGCAGCCAAATGCTGAATGATCCGAACTTTCTCCTCCCAGTCCATCCCCACCAGAGCTGCCAGGAAAATGACTTCATGTTCCTTTAAGCCACCCAAGACATTCATGACATCCGTAGTGTGGAAAAACATCCTTTTAGACAAGTCAGGATCAGGTGAAACCAACTGGAGGGCTTTGGCATTTGCGGAAGGATCTATATCATAGTTGTGGAATGAAGTAGTCTTGAGATGATTGGTGGCTAAAATGATGGAAGAAAGAGGGAGGGGACCGGAGCCTACAAAAGCGACATTGGTGGGAACTGTCTTGCAAGCTTTGCTTAGCAAGGTGAATTCTAGATGACTGAGTTTGAGGTAATTGGAATAGTAAGGAAATAAACTGAGATTTTTGAGAGGATATTCATGGGATCCTATGAGTGTAGAGAAATGCATCTCTAAAAGTCCCTCAGCTTTCCCACATAGCTTAACAAGCCTTGACACCTTCTCTTGAACTCTCTCACTTAACTTGGATACATCAATGTGACATGAGGACAGACATGTATGAACAAGCTTGGACAAACAGGCATTGACATCTTTGGAGGGATTAAGGTCTTCAAAACTTGAAATTTTCTCATAGAGTTCAAGAACATTACTCACCAACACCTCTTGATGAGAATCCATGATGAAAGAAAGAGTAAGAAAACTCTATAAAGTAGGCCTATATATAAGTGTGTGAAGCGCAGCTTCATTTCCCTTACATTATTAGCCATTGACACAATGGCACATTGTGATATCCAAGACCCTATTATTTTACTTTGAAAACAAACATATCTGTAAGAATAATGAACTGCTAGTCGCCCTTAACCAATATGGGTGCAACCTTTCCAGAAGAGCATACCACTAAAATATGTCTCAATACTCTCCCTAAAGACTACAGGAGGGGAAATCATTGTAAACAATATAGCAATCCCAGTCATTAGGCACTAGAATAAGGAAGAATGGTGCAGTTTTTGTCACTCAATATTTTTAGCTCTATTTACCAACCAACATAGACCTCGGTCGGTCTAGATATAATTTTTAACTTCGTAGAGGCATGAAATCATATGAAATGATAACGTACAATTTTACAAATTAATAGAAATTACTAAATTTAGAGGCATACTCGTAAAGTTTTATCCAAAGGCTACAAATTTATAGTTATAGTTTCTAACTATAAGAACAAATTTCAACTTAAAAAAATAATATTGGAAATGATTTTAAGAAAATTCTTTCTATGGTCTCAAAACATTTCAGAAATTAAATCAAACGGACATTTATAAAATATTTTTTCCTGAAATATTTTCTCCAAGGTAAGCTAGAGATTTTATTAGTTTAAAAGATAATAATGTGGTCTTTGTAATGGAACCCATTAGGCCACCACAATAGAAGGGCATGGCAAAGGAAAACATGCAATGATACACCATGTCTTCATCTATTTGATATGACTGTATTTCTGATATGGAAAAAGAAGAGGGTCAGCAGAGCCACAAGGTACAGAATAATGAAGCATGAGCTGGGAGAAGAATAACAGAGGTCCTCTAGTAAGAGGCACTAAAAAAGTTGAACCTTATATCACCACATTATGTCGACATTCCATGTTGTCATGGAACTTCAATTTGCTTTCCATGTATTCTGAACTCTGTTTCACTAACATATACTTATTTTATAAGAGAATGGTGACTAACTACACATTAAAATATGCTTTTAGAGTGAGAAAAGATAAAAATATTATTAATGAATCTTTATATATTTGTAAGGAAGTAGTGTTTATTTGTTTACCTCTTAAAGTTAAAAAAAATTATTTTAAAATTACGTCATTTCAATAAAATGCAATAGAAAATGATAAAAAAAAACTCTAATTTATGTGTTAAAAATAAGGTATTTTAGTTTTCTTTTAATAGGAGTTTATGAAAACAATATAGTTTT